AATACATTCAAGCCATATTTCTCACAATTTTAGCAGTTACTACATATTCATTTTTTCATGATATTTTTTATGATATATCATCAGTTACATATGATTTTTTTTATATAACAATTAGCTAATTTTGCAATATTGGTACCTTCCTTCTCGACCAACCCATTTTCTGCAAGCATCTGCGGATAGATGATAAAGAAAACGTTCTTCCAGTGAAAAAAATAACCAGTCTTGCAACTCATCTTCATAAATTGCAGCAAACTCCTCAATGATATGTCTTATGAGCAAAATATCTTGTGCTATGGACAAAAATGTAAATGTTACCAATAGTTACAGTATTACTGTACATGCAAGAGCCCTAAATATATATATATATATATATATATATATATATATATATATATATATATATATATATATGTATACAGTTGACAAACATATAAACAGGGCATGCTGGGCTAGAAATTTACACGAGTAAATGCAATAACTGCTATATACAATTGACATCTGACAGACATCATACGACATATAAATACTGCAATTTTGAAACTTAATTTAGTGTCTATTTAAAATTAACTTGTTCTAAAATGGTGATTGGGTCTTGATATTGATATTACGCACAAAATTTGTAACTAATATAATATATGAAAATAAATATCTATTCGTACCACTAAACGATCGGCGCTTCCCAGGTCTTCGTTTCGGTGCAAGTGGTTGATTTGTCATGAAAAGGCGCTTAATTTTCTTGACAAACGTTTCACCCACGTGAAGAAGTTTTGCTACGTTTTTAATCTTATAGCCTTCCAATAACAAATAAACAACTCTCCTCCTTAACTCTTCTGGGTATGCTCTAGTCATTTTTTTTTCAAGATAAGGCTGTTTCGCAATCGTACTTAGCTACTTTCCAAAAGCTCCACCCCTATTGTTATAGTTTGATTGACGGAACAGAAAATCCAAAGTCCATTTGAACGTTATTGAATAGAGGTCGCGATACAACGGTTTTCGCAGTAAGTTATATGCTGACGACACTAAAATATATAGGGAAATTAAGAAAGTTGATGTCGATGAACCAGCATTACAATTAGACCTAAATCGAATAGACGAATGGGCAAAGAAATGGGAACTCCGCTTTAATACGGACAAATGTGAAACAATACGAATTACACACAGGAAAGATACAACTAGACCTAGTTATACGTTGGGAAAAGAACTTAAGTGTGTTGATAGTGCGAAGGACCTAGGAGTTCATTTCACAAGAGATTTATCTTGGAGTGAACACGTAGGAGTTACGGTAAACAAAGCTAATAAAGTCTTGGGAGTAATTAAACGTACGGTAGGCACTAAAAATCAATACGTATTCTCGACCCTATATAAAACTCTTGTTAGACCAATTATTGAATATGCAGCTCCAGTTTGGAGCCCGTATCTGGTTAAAGACATTGTTGCATTGGAAAAAGTTCAACGTAGAGCTTCGCGTTTTGCTTTACAGCAAAAACGGGGTGAAATGTCCTATGAAGAACGTTGCTGCTTATTAAAATGGCCAAAACTAGAAAAACTTAGGGAATATTTGTCACTTGTGGAATGTTTCAAGTCAATTCATGGCCTAAATGGTCTGGTGCCTGAATTGTTTTTTGAATATACGAAGGACAATCGAACTAGAGCAAACCATAAGTTCAAATTGTATCTTAAAGCCGCTAAGATAAATTGCTATAAATATTCATTTTTTATTAGAATATTAAGTAAGTGGAATAATTTGCCAGCAGAAATTGCAGAAGCTAACAGTCTTCAGCAGTTTAAGAATGGACTTAAAAAATTAATGGACATTTAGGTTAGGAACATTTTAAAATTTTTTCTTTTTTGTAGTAGTCGTATGTAATGTATTGTTTTGGGGAATTGTCATAGTATAGGGTTAACCTCACGATTTCCTGTTCAAGATTGTTGTGAATGTTATCTTGTTATCTTGAATAAATTATGTATGTAAAAGTAACATATTAAACAAGGAACTGTAGCTATGAAAACATGTTTAAACTTGAAAAAGCATCCATTAATATAAAATTATATAAAAACATGTCAGAACATGTAGCGTGATTGTGGCGTGATCTATTTATTTATCTATGCATTCATTTTTTCACACATCTATGCCTGAGTCACTAATCTGAATGTTGCTGCAATCACAGTAGTGCAAACTGAAACTGCAATAAAATTTGTTAAATTTGATTTCTTTTTGACTTTTCACTTGAGGTTCGAGCTATATACATTGTGGTCAAAATCTCGATCTTTGTTTTTAATTGTTTTAAAATAATTGGCTTTTTTTCCAAGGTTGATCAAGCTGCTCATCTTGATTTCCAAATGAATGTTCACGGTCATCAGTAGGATTTGTGTCCAGCTCCTCCACGTTCGGATTCGATTTGTGAAGACTGATGAAAAACAAACTCGGAATCTTCTTGTGTTTGCATGGTGACAGTCGATGTGTAATTTAGCTTGTAGGTACACCAGGTAAGTATTTAATACTACAAAGCTATCGCGCCGTTAACCCGGGTCTTCATCAGTGCAATTACCTGCATAGATACACATTTACACTGTTTATACACGTCACTTGATATCACGTTTGTCGTGATTTGTTAGCTCGCCACAATCACTTACCAAATAATTGAGAGAAAGAAGTAGTTCTAATATAGTTCTAATATATAGTTTTAGTTTTAATGTTTTCTTGCTCAATAGTACGTGGCGTACTCTTTTCAATGTCTGCTAGCTAAATACTTGTCTAGGACACGCGCATTAATTAGAACTATTTCTTTTTCATAATTATTTGGTAATTGAAACCGCTTAATTAATGGCGTGAGCTAACTAAAATCACGACTAACGAGGTATTTTAGTGACGTCTGAATGTTAATTCAGCGAATTGTACTGACGAAGGCCCGAGTTAACCGACCGAAAGCTTTAGAATATTAAATACTTACGTGGTATACCTACAAACTTAATTTATTAAACTGAGAATCGTTGAAGATCTCGATATATGAAAGGCATCTCGTCGGATTCAAGGATACGGTTTTGGAGAAATGTCTGGCCCTCTTCTCTGTACTGGAAGTACTGCATATTTTAGTATGGTAATTAACATCAAGTCGAGGGTATAAATATGGCAGCTTCTGTATAACGTTTAGTTACGCATATAGATTAAAACTTGTCTTTACTCGAAGAGATCTGGCTGTGCTTTTGTACAAGAACACACAACATTCTCCAAAAGGGCAACAGGATGCAGGCGATTTTTTCACCAACAGACTCCAAAACTTATTCTGCAAGTAGCCGCCCTTCATTCAACGAAAGTGCATTATTGGGGACACGTGCAAACGCTTGTGGATTCGGTTTATACTCCTTCGGTTTATATCCAATTATAACAGCTCTATAATTATAATCCAATTATAACAGCTTTATAGACAATCCAGTCGAATGTACTCACCCTCAATGTGTGCGTTATTTAGGCGCATTTCGGAAATCCGGCACGCTAAATTGAGGGGGGGGAGCAACACTAATTGATATTCCTAAATTAAGAGATGAACTGCTAAATCTGGTGGTGAGTAATATGAATTTATTGTGACTTTACGTTTAAACAGCATTTAAACGAAAGGGACAAAAATGCATGCAAAAGCTCTGAGTGAAGACATAGTTCTAAAGCTAGACTATGATGTTCCAGTACAATTAATTACGTTACTTTTAATTAATAACTAGTATTTACAAATGACAGACACCAACATTGGAAATCACAGCTGCTAACTTGAGTGCTGTGTGTTGAGTATTGAGACACAAATAGTGTCAATAGAGCATGAGAGGGATTAATGACTATAATAGTATATTTTTCTATGAATCCACCAGTATTTTATCAATAATATCTTTCCTCAATATTTGTAGATGATAAAATCATGTGCGATTTACATAATGCCACTGGGTACTGCAATTAATGTTAGGGTTGAATGTGAGAAAGTTTTACCTATGATATACCCAGCCCTTGGTACTTAATAAAGGTGGTATACTTTTGTTATCTTGAATTAAATTAAATTAAAGTAAACTACAGTAATTAATTCCAAAATGAATCAAAGTGTTTAGAAAATGCAGATTCTATGCCCAAATATCAATTTCGTTATATATATACAGCTGATTCAATTAAGTTTGTGACAGGCAATAGGCAAATGTAAATTGTAAGCGCGAACAGTGTCATGGGTCCAGTGCATTTGACTAACTAATGCATCGACATATTTTGAATGGTGTCGTTAATGGACGCTAATTATTTTATTATGTTATCATTCGACCAAACAATGACACTATGCGAACAACAGAGTACAAAAGACACATATGAAAGATGCGGTGATTTTGCAATTCCCAAAGGAACATGTGCATTGATCACAATAGTTTGTGGTTGCACTTTGCAGGCGAGCAAACAATTAGATTGATAAATAGTGCATTTGGTGGATATTCGGTTCCAAAGTCATGGAAAATTACGAGGAAGAAAGCGTTAATATCATGTTAAAAGTTACACGGCAAGGTAATAAAAGGCAGAATGACACATATACATGTCAAAACGTCGACATTTTTAACGATGTGAAAGCGCTACGTGAGTTCCTGTTCAAGCAGTTTAAAGAGGAACTTTCACCAGCAATCGATGCTGATTCATTTCGCCTGGGATATTTGGATGAAAAAAATCGAAAACTGACAATGTCGAATACGGCACAACTAGGAGAAGCTTACTCGTCCGCAAAATATGGCATGGTGAGGCTATGGGCAGATCCTCACATCCAAACGGCCACAAAGTCCACGTTAAGCGGGAAGCGAACATATTCGCAATTCATGTCATGCACTGCTGGGAGTGATGAGGGTAAAAAGATGCAATTATACAAAACATTACCACTCAATAATCTGCCAATATCGACTCTCCCGTTATCGTTTGTTTAATTTAGAAGATGAAGGTGACCCAGTCAAGCAACACGAAACCTGTTTGCAACGTCTTAGAAATAAACAAGGATGCAATATGCCCGAATTTAAATTAAAGATTTGGGCAAAAATGCTGGTACGGCGTAAGTCAGTGTTAACTGTGTCCGAGGCCCATAAGTAGAAATATTGTAAATTATAACTTGAACGTTGACATGCGATAAGGTCAGTAAGAAAACAAAAACAGCAATCCAAATTGCTTAGCATTATTATGTCAACGAATACGCTCGTTATAGTTTCACTGAATTAAAAACGTACAATAGTATAGTCACACACATTTCACATTATTTTTGTAAAGATGAACGGCACACATAACAGTGAGGACGTGCCGCCGCGATTACCTTTCTTCACTGGAAAAAAGATGCCAGATAGGGTCGCAGAAAGTGCAACGACTGCGAACGCTAGTAGTGCGTTCACAAGTACCACAGCGGGTACCAACCCTGCTCCATCAAACCAGATGGAGAGCAAGGTATTAATCAGAATTATGGATTTTCTAATTTATGCAACAAATACTTTAACGTTTAGAATAAAGGTACGAAACCTGTAGTCTCTTAAACACTAATTTAAACAGCAATAACTTAAAACGTTCACTAATGTATTATTAACATGTTTTAGATACGAATACGTTCCACCATTTTTGAGCAGTTGAAAGAGCTGAAAGCCTTAGAAGACTCTGGCGTTTTAACACACGAACAGTTTTCTGACCAGAAAGAAAAACTTCTAAATGAACTTGCTTCCTTATAGCGAATGGCTTCGTTGTTCTCCAGATTGCGTTCGTCTTGATTGCGTTTAAAAGTATTCAGCATGTTCAATGTAATGTTTTATATCTTCATCTGTTATTTGAACAAAAGAGTCAAAAACCATTAACTCTGGCTCATCACAGCTTTGCCAGGCAATGTCATTTTCTCTAATGTACCATTTTGTCTGTGCAAATAATTCTTCACAAGGCATTAGGTCGGGAGAATATGGTGGTAGATAGATAATCATTGCTCCTGTTGCGTTGATTGCGTTAATGACTTGTTGGGTGTGATGTATACCTGCATTGTCTGAACAATAAAAATACGATTAATAATTATCATATGCTAATGTTAGAAAAAAAGAACATAATAACTGTATGGTTTGTAATATTTTGTACCAAGTATAACAATTGAGCGAGGGTTAAAACCATCAAATGGTAACAGGCAAGGTGCTAGTGTTGTGTTCACAAACTCAAGAAACGTTTCGCCAGTTACATTTCCGTCGTAAATTCCTATGTCAAGCAACCCTTCTATTGAAATGACAGGAATAGCTGTGATACGCGGTCCCCATGCCAAACGGCGGCGTTTGACAACTGCTCGCTTTCCTCTCTGGCTATACCCATACGATCGACATATTCTTTTATCCTACCGAACAAATCATAACATACTGTTAGTTCACAACAAAACCATCTTGCACGCGTACATATTTGAATACTGTGTGCATATTTATAAATTTTAATTATGAAACATAACTTACAAAACCGCTTTCGTCAAATACTGTTTAAATTTTGGCATGCAATGACACAAATATATGAGATATTGTATTAATTTTACCTTTTTGGAGGAAAACCGTTACGCTTTAAGTAATAGTACAGTGTTGAACATCCGTATGTTGATAGCGTTTCTCTAAATACTTCTTCAACTATTTCGGCCAATGTAGTTTGCGGATTTTGCATTACCCATTCCATGATAACATACTCTTCTTGAGGATGAAACGATACGCATCCAGAAGGTCTTCCCATTGTCTCTGTGTTAACGTTTCCTGTTGTTTGAAATTTGCCAACGTAGCGACGAACCGACATCTCTGATATTTGCAAGAAGAAAGCAGCCGCTTGTACAGATAGTCCACAAATATCAGTCAAAAAAATCGCTCTCCATCGCAGGTCTGCACTGTACGCACGGGGCATTTTTACACTACGGTTGATTTCGGTTACTTCTATAATACAAAACAACGTGTATTCCACGTTACCGCTATACAGTATAATAACAGCCTTAAGTTCATCCTCACACTATTCCCACGAGATGATTATATTTATACTCAACAATGCTTTTCCAATAATGACTTCATTCGTTGCATAATTATGCATAAAATGCCATCAATCCCTTCATGCCTCTTGCGCGTGGAATATACATTTGCCTATTGCCTGTCACAAACTTAATTGAATCATCTGTATATTGTCACTGTACCGATCATATCAGGAAAGCTTGTTAATTAATAGCTTACTAATTATTTTAACATACTGATGTATGAAATCTTAGATCATGTATGAAGATATGTATAACTTCTTCAGAATATCTAGCAACATTTTGGTTTGCTATAACTAAATTAATGTCAAGTAGTGTTTTTAATTTTAAAAAATCGAAAATTTGGGCCTCAAATTGTTATGCGCAGGGCGGACTTCACTTTCACTTGTATATTACATAACACAATATAATTATTTTGCTTGTACACTCTATAGATTTATGGTCGCATATGCATGCTAGCATATGTAGAAATATATGCTAGATATATGCATGTTTCTAAAGCTACTGACATGGCTATATATCAAACAAACTTACCTGTTGAGGAGCTAAGATTCAAGGCATAGCCTTTGACTTTGTGGTTCGCTCTCCGTTTGATCTTTGCTTTCCTCCTAGTTCTACCGACTGTCTGATAGTTCGATGAATGTATATTTATCCTTATATCAGTTCAGGTTTTTTATCCAATGCTATTTGCCAACCCGTGAACTGCATCAACGGCCACTATTGATATGGATATATCAACTGAACTCCCTGGGCCTGGGCAGCCTACTGCACACGAGTACAAGTTATGTTGTAAAGGAAGTAAATTTCTTTAACCGCAAACATAATTATATCGTCTTCGGAAGTTTTTAAGAGTTTCGATGAGTGCAAACTCGTGCATTTTCAATATTAAGATATTTTCGTATTTCGCAGACCGCGGCATGTCTATTATTTATTCAAATCGTGCCCTTATGCATGTAATCGATAGCGCCGGAAATGGTACTTGTTACTTGCCCAGGGTGTAAAATAATACACTTTGAGGCAGCTCACATGAGCCAGCTCACCTGAGATTTAACGAAGCCTGAGATGATTTTTTAATAACAAGTTCTTTTTAAACCAAACTAACACATGCTATTGTTAGGATGTCTACACGATTACCAGGTCATGTTATTTACCCATTTCAATACCCCAAAGGTCAAGCCCATTTTACGCTACCTTACATCACAGCTGCAAAGAATATCATTTAATTACACTCTTTGGCAAGTGACAAGTACCATATGTCCTGACATGGGTTTGAAATGATACGATAGCAACGTTCCTTTATTATAATTTATACGTATCCTGTTTTTACTAGGCTGAAAGTGTTGGTGAACTGATAATTTAAAACGCTTATACATATGTTTATCAGTTTATGACGCGCGTTATTTCGAGCTTGTTTCTTGTTTTTTATGTGGTTTCCTGAATTCCCCGATTCCCCAAATCCCGGATTCCCCGATTACCGAACTCCGATTCCACGATTACTGAGCTCCGATTCCCGGAATCCCGATATTTAGTTTGGATTTCCGGATTCCTTGTTCCCAGTTTTAAAGGTCGCCATATAGTCATTGTCTCACAAAGTTGATGTCTCACAATGCACCTGCAGGGCTGAACCTTGATACAGATATCTTACCCACTCGACTTAAGCAAAAGGAAAAATAAAGCAAAAACCTAACAAAAAGGAATTTGGAGAAAGGCAGAGTTACATAAATTTTGCATTAATTGCACGTCTGGCAAATTTGCATGCGAAATCGCTAGCTTGTCATTCATAATGATCAGCGGAAATCCCCTGCAGAATAGCCAATGCGCGCAATAATCTTGCGTTAAGATCTCCATTAGTTTGTGTTTCATTTTCACTTTTGAACCAAAAAACCAGCCGTTGCATATAGCAATTAGCAAGGAATATATACATATTTAATGGCTGGTATTTATCACACAATTCCTAATCTCATGATGGAATCAGTACCCTCACACTGGTTGTAAGTGTGTATAGTTCTGACCGGTGACGGTTTATTACTTGTTCAGCCTTTGACGGTCTCATTTAAAAATCAAACAAGACATAATTTATTTTTGCAACAACATTCTAATGCAAAGCTGTAAAGCCGGTTTTCCACTAATGTTTATTTTCGCACGAAGCGAGATTTTACTTTTGTTTCAGAGCTCTCAACTGCAACCATCTGGAACAAATTGCTCAAATACAAAAGAATAAAGTCGCTTCGCGCGAAAAATATCGCTAGTGGAAAACCGGCTTAAGGCGTCCTTTTCAGACAATGGCCGTTTTCACACTATAGAGACGCATAATGCGTCTCTAAAGGAGGGACAACTAATCAGACAAATAAGTGGATGAAAACTCGCGCGAATAGATTATATGAAAATGTCTGGTTTATTTTATCACTGTCTCATTTTCCAGAATTATTCGTCTACGTGCCGTCTTCACACGGGAGACGCATTATCCGTCTAGACGAACTATCGTTGGTTATACATCTCTGACACGAAAAACTGAACATGTTATACGTCTGCTGTGTGTTGTCCGTCTTTATACTGAAGACGGATAACCTGGGAAGACGCATTATGCGTCTCTAGTGTAAAAACGGCCAATGCTTCATTGCTTTGCTTCAAGGTTTCAATTATGTATGTTTAACACAGCGGGGTCCCTATCAGATTAAAATATAAGAAACTCAACTGATCAACAATGGCCTAAGACATATTTAAGATAATTCTTTTTTTACACTTTGAAACAAAAAGCAAGGTCTAAAAAAACAGATTGAAGGTAGCTAAATATCAATATTTGTTTTTCGCGGCATATGACTAATTTAATACTCCGGCGTCAGCGACGGATTTGAAAATTCGCCTCGGTTTTGTTTTGTTGTTTTTTTTTGTTTTATTTTTTTTATTTTTCGTCGTCGCAAGTCTGAAATGGCGCGAAACATTCTAGTATTTAAAAAGTGTATGTAATCGTATTTATCTTTGTCCTATGCAGTCTTATCTCCCAACAGTTGTGGTGTACAGAAGTAGTATAGCCCTGGCCATATGGTGGGATTGCTGACATCAGCATTTTCTTAAAATGACTTACAGCTTTGGCTAATTTTCCGATGCGCGATTCGATTTCGCTCGCATGATACGGCAATTCCTCCAAGAAGAACGAATAAACCGTTGTTTTCATGCTGTTCAATTAAGTTTAGATTGAATTGGGGTAAGAATATATTAATACATGTTGATTCTGGTCCTATTTTAATAATATCACTGCTGTCGCCGTTTAACAAGATGATGTGGTCGTGTATGGGCGCGTTGACACGTCGTAGTTTGCACAGGATTGAAGATTTAATATAACTATATAAGCGCGAATTCCAAAGGCAAAGTGTAAGACAAAGCGAATGTATCATGCGGTTTATTTACATTTTTTAACAATTGAACTTCTTTACTTTTTAAAGTACGATGTGCTTCTGAATTTCGCGATCGAACATTTATAATTATAGGTTCGCAAGGTATCTAAATGCGAATATGAACTGTATTGTTTCTGTTCAGAAGCTTTACATTGAAGACTGGCACGCGCACGGCGGTTATTAATAACCTTTTGAGATTAAAATATAAGAAACTCAACTGATCAACAATGGCCTAAGACATGTTTAAGATAATTATTGTTTTACACTTTAAAACAAAAAGCAAGGTCTAAAAAAACAGATTGAAGGTAGCTAACTATCAATATTTGTTTGTCGTTGCATATTACTAATTTCTATTATTTACTGTACTGGTCGTAGATGAGTTCGGTTTATTCCAAAGAACTTTAATGCTTTCTAGGCTTTACATTGAATTATGATCACGGCAACGGATTTAATTACCCTGTCTGCATTATTACTACAACACGAAACCTGTTTGCAACGTCTTAGAAATAAACAAGGATGCAATATGCCCGAATTTAAATTAAAGATTTGGGCAAAAATGCTGGTACGGCGTAAGTCAGTGTTAACTGTGTCCGAGGCCCATAAGTAGAAATATTGTAAATTATAACTTGAACGTTGACATGCGATAAGGTCAGTAAGAAAACAAAAACAGCAATCCAAATTGCTTAGCATTATTATGTCAACGAATACGCTCGTTATAGTTTCACTGAATTAAAAACGTACAATAGTATAGTCACACACATTTCACATTATTTTTGTAAAGATGAACGGCACACATAACAGTGAGGACGTGCCGCCGCGATTACCTTTCTTCACTGGAAAAAAGATGCCAGATAGGGTCGCAGAAAGTGCAACGACTGCGAACGCTAGTAGTGCGTTCACAAGTACCACAGCGGGTACCAACCCTGCTCCATCAAACCAGATGGAGAGCAAGGTATTAATCAGAATTATGGATTTTCTAATTTATGCAACAAATACTTTAACGTTTAGAATAAAGGTACGAAACCTGTAGTCTCTTAAACACTAATTTAAACAGCAATAACTTAAAACGTTCACTAATGTATTATTAACATGTTTTAGATACGAATACGTTCCACCATTTTTGAGCAGTTGAAAGAGCTGAAAGCCTTAGAAGACTCTGGCGTTTTAACACACGAACAGTTTTCTGACCAGAAAGAAAAACTTCTAAATGAACTTGCTTCCTTATAGCGAATGGCTTCGTTGTTCTCCAGATTGCGTTCGTCTTGATTGCGTTTAAAAGTATTCAGCATGTTCAATGTAATGTTTATATCTTCATCTGTTATTTGAACAAAAGAGTCAAAAACCATTAACTCTGGCTCATCACAGCTTTGCCAGGCAATGTCATTTTCTCTAATGTACCATTTTGTCTGTGCAAATAATTCTTCACAAGGCATTAGGTCGGGAGAATATGGTGGTAGATAGATAATCCATTGCTCCTGTTGCGTTGATTGCGTTAATGACTTGTTGGGTGTGATGTATACCTGCATTGTCTGAACAATAAAAATACGATTAATAATTATCATATGCTAATGTTAGAAAAAAAAGAACATAATAACTGTATGGTTTGTAATATTTTGTACCAAGTATAACAATTGAGCGAGGGTTAAAACCATCAAATGGTAACAGGCAAGGTGCTAGTGTTGTGTTCACAAACTCAAGAAACGTTTCGCCAGTTACATTTCCGTCGTAAATTCCTATGTCAAGCAACCCTTCTATTGAAATGACAGGAATAGCTGTGATACGCGGTCCCCATGCCAAACGGCGGCGTTTGACAACTGCTCGCTTTCCTCTCTGGCTATACCCATACGATCGACATATTCTTTTATCCTACCGAACAAATCATAACATACTGTTAGTTCACAACAAAACCATCTTGCACGCGTACATATTTGAATACTGTGTGCATATTTATAAATTTTAATTATGAAACATAACTTACAAAACCGCTTTCGTCAAATACTGTTTAAATTTTGGCATGCAATGACACAAATATATGAGATATTGTATTAATTTTACCTTTTTGGAGGAAAACCGTTACGCTTTAAGTAATAGTACAGTGTTGAACATCCGTATGTTGATAGCGTTTCTCTAAATACTTCTTCAACTATTTCGGCCAATGTAGTTTGCGGATTTTGCATTACCCATTCCATGATAACAAATTGTTATTCACGCTATCAAGAAACTGACTGAGAAAACAAAATGCCAAGACCAAGAAAACAAATAACTAGTGTGATGTCGTTTCATCTACTAACCCTGATTTGAATACCGAAATCCTGACAAATTTGCATACCGGATTATCTCTCATCAAAATGACTTGTTTATATTGCTATCGTTACTCGTAGCGGAAGTCGATCATAACCTCCCTAGTGTACAGCCGACGACGCGAAAAAAGGCGAGGTTTTTTCAATGACATTACATTACCACTTGTAAAGTTGTAAATAAAACCTTGACAATGAGGTCTCTTGTTACGTTAAAATTCACTGATTAGTCTTTGAACCGCGCTCTGCCAGCAAAAAAAACTTTCGGGTTGTCGCATGAGGGCGTGGCTTACAGGCCTAGAGAGCAGAGGTCCCATGTTTGTTTAGAGAGGTTAAGGTGAACTTTCGAGAGGTATATGAGCCCATTAGGAAGGTTATAAAATTGCATGTCATACATAACACAAAGACTAGCCCGTGTTCCGTCCCGGTCGCCTGAAATTTTATATTGACTACTTTTTTATTGTTGTATTTAATTATTGTAATAAAAGAAAATAATGAAATAAAATATCCATATGATACGTACTACATAGAAATAATAATATTTTCTAACTTGGTAATTTAGGGTCCAATATTAATAATTTACGGTAATTCTATATATAGTTAATAATTGAAGGCCTTAACTTTTTAAGCTTCAAAATAAGCTTGCAGGTTATAACAATTGTTTCCACTTATACTATTTTATTATTTGCTGTAATATTCTTCCTCGCAACATCTCGCAGTATATGACAATAAGTATTGGAAGATAAAAAGGTGTTAGAATGCGAGACGAATATAGAGGCTGAGCATAAACAATGGCTCACTTTCAAAAACCTTTGACAAGACAGTAGTACAGGCACATGCAGATAATTATTTTTCATCGGTTAAATGCAATTTATGAAATGAATGAAAAACACACTTTATCATTGGAAACATATGTGCATAGCTACATCTTCTCTATTCTAAAACCTTTCATCTTCGATTAATTCTTTGAAAAAAGAAAATTTAAGTTTAACTGAATTTCTGTAAACAATACGACCAACATTCTTCAACCACTTTGTGGACTGGCACAATTCTTTCCGCACTTCCTTGCTTATGGGATGTCTCTCCTCGTACAACGCTACTGAACGGCATATCCGTATGCACATGGTCGCTATATCCGTCCTGTAATGAAAATGTTTCAACACGATCCACTTAGTATATAGATGAAATAAAAGCCTTTCAAATCCTTATTCCGTGGTCCAGTTATTATTACGATTTGTACAAAATTTCGAGGCTCCAGTAAAGATGATTTTTTTAAAGCACAAGATCAATAACCACTTGCTTCGTTTGATTATAAAAACGAAGCGACAAATGAAGGAGCTTTCGTGCAACTCTAGTATAATTATTTCTTCAACAAATACACGCGCATGGGCATATATCGTCTTGTCGAATGAAGAACTCTCACAATACTCAAACTTCACCTGTCCAATACTTTAACACTGGTAACATTTTTCGATTTCATTGCTTTCCCTTTTTTAGTTCAGTGAGTCAACTGATCACCGTATACCATATGATGTGTTGAAGAGGTGTTCATTTTTTAAATGTAAAGTAATTGTTCTTGCAGTCTTGCAGATTTCTAATTTTCGTATGTCAAGCAATTATTGTTTCAATTTGCCCGATTTTTTTTATGCCTATGAAATAACTGTGAAGACGCTTTATGACTTTCAACAATTGTTATAACAAATGTCACGAGTGTTCTACTAAGACGTAGAAGATACATCGGTTTGTTTCATGTTATCCTTTTTTCCAACAAAAGGCAAAATATTGAATTATTTCGTATGTTTTTAACGATGTTTTCGGTGATGCAAGTTCAAATTCATATCACAACGCTTCGATGATCCTCACATATTTTTACTTCCTTCTTCATTGCGGAAACATATCAATACAGTACGCGTGATGTCGGTCCACTAGGTTTTAGAATGTTGGCTAAAGTTTATGTTATTTCTTATCTATAAATAAGTCTCAAGTTACAATATCGCAGAGTTTGAAGTTGTAAGCATATACTTCATTAATGACCTGCGCAAATAGAGCTATTGGTATATTGGTTCTACTATGGAGGATTTGTTCAGTTTAAATAAACTGACAATTAATTTTAGGTTTTTCACTAAATTACGTTCGCTTAAAATTACTTAACATTGGAAGCTGCCGCACATAAATTAAATATTTTGTGTTATCGTAGTAAAAAAATCTGGAATTTCGCAAACTTATAATATTGAAGATGAACTTTTGCAGATATAATTTGCTACATGCACTTTATTTTCTACATGCACATACATGTACCAAAATATATCTCGGAAACGTTGAACAGGACGGTGTTAGCTTGCAATTGTTTTTCTCCAAGTGAATTTTTTTACTATGTCAGCGCATGCCTGAAAAAAGTGTAAATTTATTTCTTGGGAATTAGGTTGTAAGTTCAAATACTTGCACAAAAAGTTTAATCTGCAAAGTCAAATAAAGTGCTGCTTCCATTAGTAAAAATTTCATACAGGCAGCCACCTCCCTTATCTTCAAAAATATAACTATTGTAAACCGATGACGAGTGGAGAAAAAAAATAGAATATCTGCTTGCTATAGCGTATTGTTTTGACATTGAAATGACATTCTAAATAAAATTTGACTTCCATATTGGGAATTAAAGAGAAGTAAGCAGGTTAATGTTCTAATCCTGACTGGCCCGATACCTAAGGACCGAAATTCAAGAACTTACGCAACGCCAATAACGAAGGGACGAAAGCCTGGTTCATGCAAGTTGCAAGAAAATGCTATTCCCCTTTTTGGGACCAGCGAATAAGTATGCAAATAATGGGGATAGGGAATTCTTGCAATTAACTAAAGTGCGGACAAGGCTTAACGAAATCACATTTTGAATTGAAACTGATATATACTTACGGCTTGGCGATAACTGCAACACTGCATACCAATCGTATTTCGTTTATTACAACGCACTATCACACTTTGAAGACAGGAAATGTCTACTTATATTGATTTAAAAAACAGAATATTTAAAATTCGATACTGACTAAACAAAGCTATATAATTATTATACTTACAAACTTCAGGGTAATACAACAAAACCAGAGAACTTGTCACGTGATTTATCTCTGATATTTTCGATGTCATGTTTCTGAAAAACCACATCCTCCCCGTAGATGGTAAATGGAGCCCAGATTGTGTAAGACCGGTAAGCTTGGATTTGGTGTTTTTGGAAGAGATTCTTTGTTTTTCTTAGTGCTTCACAAACCGATGTTCCCTGGCACAACTCACCATAAAATACTTCCATAAACTCTTTCGTGGCATCATCACTAATGGGCCATAGTGTGGCGAGAACAGTGCGAGCGCCGGCTGCAATAAATGCCCGAGCAATACCTATGACACCTTCGGAAGAAATCTCACCTTGCCCGGTATGGCAACAGCATAAAACTACCAAGCTAGCTAGCAAAGAAGTATTTATAATATCCTTCTGTGAGAGGAGGTAGTCGTCTGGATAAGGAAGAGTTGAAGTTGGCCGAGTCGAGGAAACGTTAGGGGAAAGCATTATTTCACCTCGAAGTTGTTCACCGTGAGCAGCGATATGGATTATGCTAGCCCCAGATAAAAGACCCAGTACAACCTGTTTTCTAGCTTCACGCCCCACTAAGGGTCTAGCATTGAAGAGCTTTGAAAGACATTCAACTTCTCTAGCAGCATTTGGTAGGGCAGGGGGTGAAAATTCTTTTCCATTTAAGGAAACCGCTCCAACAGTTGGATTACCAACAAACAACGCAAAACCAAGGCCCCGATCTTGAGAGCGTTCAATGCTAAACCTTAGAGTGTGTAATGATGGCGTAACTTGAATGCTGTAACTGTGGGATAAATGACAACCATTTTCATCAATCAATGACGAAAATGGGACAAAAAACAATTGCTTGTCCGGAACAACTATAAGTTTATTGCCCTTAATGACATCGCTTACAGGGTCAATCAGCAGTTTAAACAATGTTTTCAAAATACCGTCTTGGTTTAAATCATCATCACCAACAGAAGGTTTCTCAAAATGATTTTTAGACGGAGATTTCTCTTTAAAAACGTCCAAAGGAAGAATCGATTTTTCATCAATACTGGCCACTGAATCGTGTTCGAAAAACGAAGAATCCCGATTAACATTCACATTCACCATTCTGAACAATTCACTTATCAGTTGCACAAATGTTTCCAATCGTGCTTCTGATTTTGATACTCTAAAGATTACTTCTTCATTCAACACCCAAACATTGAGAAAACCTTCCAAATCGAAAGCAAATACTATAATGGAAGTATCGTTACTGCTTACCTGGAGGATGCTCTGTAATTCTTTTATTTCTACCTGTTCTTCACTATTCTTGATTCTCTTCCATCTCACATTTGCATAATCGAACATTTTTGTATTCAAAGACTTATTTTTTCTTTCAATGGACAAATGAAGTTCTTTAGCCCTTCCGAGGTCAATGACTAATAATGCAGATTCAATGCGCCCCAAAGAAATAAAATAACTCATGTTCATTACATGGGCGCTAAAGTATTGTTGAGTGAATGACAACTTATTTTGGTCTGGTATTGAGTTTAAAAATATTTTATCATATATGCTGATAGATTCCATTAAACATAATACTGCTGTTTCTTCCTGTCCTAAAACAAAATGTACAGCTCCCAAATTGCTCTTACTAGCTGCTAAGAGTAACGGATCATTAATGGCAATACTGATTTCTAACCCTTTCTTGCAATAGTCAATGGCTTTCTCATTTTCTCCTAGTCGAAGGTAGGCAATCCCCAGATTGCCACTCTGAGTTGCTATTCCAGATTTATTGCTAATAGCAGTATTAATATCTAATGCCTTTCTGTAACAGTCAATAGCTTTCTCGTATTCTTCAAAGCTAAGGAAAGCATTGCCCAAATTGGAAATGCTATTTGCTATTACTGACTTATTGCCAATGGCAGTACTCATTTCTAAACTTTTTTTTATATAATCAATGGATTTTTCATTTTGTTCTAAACGTCTATAAACATTGCTCAAATTGCCGTTGACCTTTGCTATTGTTGTTTGATCACCAATAGCAGTACTAATTTCCAAACACTTTTTTTGGTGATCGATAGCTTTTTCATATTCTCCCAAGCATTTATAAGCATTGCCCAAACCGAAATTCGCACTTGCTATTCCTGATTTATCGCCAATATCAGTACTCATTTCTAATTTTTTTTTGAAGCAATCAATAGCTTTGTCATACTCTCCGAAGCTAAAGTAAGTATGGCCCAAATCGCCATTCCCAGATGCTATTCCTGTCTTATCACCAATAGAAGTACTAATTTCTAAACCTTTTCTGCAATAGAGAATGGATTTCTTATAATCTCTTAATTCAAGATAAGCAAGACCTAAACGGCGATTATTTTTTGCTATTTCTAACTTATCGCCAATGACAGTACTCATTTCTAAACTTTTTTTGAAACAGTCAATAGCTTTCTCGTATTCTCCTAAACTAAGGTAGGCATTACCCAAACTACCATTGTTTTCTGCTATTCCTAACTTATTGCCAATAGCTACACTTATTTCTAAACCATTTGTGCAATAGCGAATGGCTTTCGCGTATTCTCCTAATCCAAGATAAGCAATTCCTAAATTGCAATTGTTGCTTGCTATTCCTGACTTATTCCCAATAGCAGTATTCATTGCTAAACCCTTTTTTAAATATTCAATAGATTTCTCACACTCTCCTGAATTAATGTAGGCATTACCTAACTCTCCATTGCTTCTTGCTATTAGTACGTTATCACCAATTGAAGTACTCGTTTCTAAACCTTTTTTTAAATAGTCAATGGCCTTGGTATATTCTCCCAAACTAAGGTAGGTCCTGCCTAAATTAACATTGTTAGTTGCTGTGCCTGACTTATCGCCAACAGCAATACTCATTTCTAAACTTTTTTTGAAATAGTCAATAGCTTTTTCATATTCTCCTAAACTATGGTAGGCATTACCAAAATCAATATTGTTACTTGCTATTGCTGACCTATCGCCAATAACAGTACTCATCTCTAAACCTTTTTTGAAATAGTTAATGGCTTTTTCATAGTGTCCTAAATCAAGGTAGGTCCTGCCCAAATTGCTATTGTTAGTTGCAATTCCTGACTTATCACCAATAGCTGTAGCCATCTCCAAACTTATTTTCAAATAGCCAATGGACTTCTCATATTCGCCTAAATTACGGTAGGCATTGCCCAAATTCCCATTGTTAATCGCTATTCCTGACTTATCGCCTATAGCAGTACTCATTTCTAAACCTTTTCTATACCATTCAATGGCTTCCTCATATTTTCCTAAACAGAGGTAGGCATTACCCAAATTGCAATTGTTAACTGCAATTCCTGACTTATTGCCATTAGCAGTCCTCATTTCTAAACTTTTTCTAAAATAGATAATGGCTTTCTCATATTTTTTTGATCCAAAGTAAGCATTGCCTAAATTGTCATTGTTAGTCGCTATTCCTGACTTATCGCCTATAGCAGTACTAATTTCTAAACCTTTTCTATAACATTCAATGGCTTCCTCATATTTTCCTAAATTAAGGTAGGCATTACCCAAATTGCAATTGTTAGCTGCAATTCCTGACTTATTGCCATTAGCAGAACTCATTTCTAAACTTTTTCTAAAATAGATAATGGCTTTCTCATATTCTCCTGATCTAAAGTAAGCATAACCCAAATTGCCATAGTTAGCTTCTATTCCCGATTTATGGCCAATAGCAGTTCGCATTTCTAAACTCTTTTTAAAATAGTCAATGGCTTTCTCAATTTCGCCTAACATAAGATAAATATTGCCCACATTATCATTTATAGTTGCTATACCTGATTTTTCGCCAATAGCGGTTCTAATTTCTAAACCTTTGTTAAAAAAGGCTATAGCCTTCTCATATTCTCCCAAACCAAGGTAGGCATTACCCAAATTGCAATTTTTACTTGCTATACCTTGCTTATCACCAATAGCAGTACTCAATTCTAAACCTTCTTTTGAATAATCAACGGATTTTACGTATTCTCCTAATTTATGATAAACATAGCCCAAATAGCCATTATTATCGGCCATTCCTGACTTATCACCAATAGCTGTACTCATTTCCAAACCTATTTTGAAATAGTCAATGGACTTCTCATATTCGCCTAAACTAAGGTAAACACTGCCCAATTTGCCATTAATTTTTGCCATTCCTGAATTGTCGCCAATAGCAGCACTGATTTCCAAACATTTTTTGAAATAGTCAATAGCTTTTTCATGCTCTCCTAAACTATGATAGGCAGTGCCTAAATTGCCATTGTTAGTTGCCACTTCTGAGTGATTGTCAAATTGAATGAAAATTTCTAAACTTGTTGCAAAATACTCGATAGCCTCTTTATGTTGTCCTAGGTGTAAAAAGGCAGAACCCAGTTTCTCACAGGCAATTGCTAATCCTTGAAAATTGCCAATTTCAGTGCAAGTTTCCCTATATTTAATGTAATAGGTAATGGCCTTTTTATACTCTGCTAATCTAAAATGGGTATCACCTAAGTTGAGATTGCTGTTTGCTCTTCCTATGGGATCATTGTTTGCAGTTACAGATTTTGAAGATTTCGAACCCATTTTGTTACCTTTTCAAGTGTCTGTATATCTTTACTTCAGACCTTAAAACAAAATTATGTAAAAACGTATTAGAAGAGGTTAATTAATGTATATACTGGGCATGGAAGAGTATTTCCTTAGTTGACACAATCGTATTTTGAGGTGTTATTTTGATCGACAATTGTAACAGTGATAATCGGACTGGTAATAGTGATATTGAAAATGCACCCTAGGGCTGTTTTTGGGACGAACATTTGTTTATGTCGCAAAAACAGTGATGGATTTGTAATACATTCGCATGGCTTCTAATTTTGCTAACACGGTTTGCAATGAATTGTCATTATTCGCTATAGTCGTTCAATCAGTTTGTGCTATCTAACAAATATGAAAATGTCACGTTTTAAAGTTTATCTATATCAGGGACGTTTTCAGTATCTTCAGCCTTATTCCAAGGAAGGTCAAGAAGTTTGCTCTCCCCTTTCCAAGGTTGACCGAGCTGCTGCAGATCTTGATATTTCCAAATGAATGTTAACGGTCATTAGGATTTGTGTCCAGCTCCTCTCTACGTTCGGATTCGATTTGTGAATGAGGAACAAACTGAGAATCATTGCAGGACATCGATATGAAGGGCATCTCGTCGGATTCGCGGGTACGAATTTGGAGAAATGTCTGGTGCCAATCCTTCAAAGGGGCAACTTCATGCAGGCGATTTCTAACTAACACACTCCGGAACTTATTCTGAGGTTGTGGCTCTGCATTTAACAAAGGTGCAGATATTTATACCCCTCATCTGACCAGCCTTATCATAACACCGAGCAATCTGCATTCGTTTAAACAAGCTGCCTTTTTAGTGATCTTTGCACTAACAAGCAATCTTTTTACTTTGTAGACATGGTACTTAATACAGTATTAGTTTTATACACGCAAATATTAAACCACTGTATAACGTAATTACCAAACTTTTTAAACTTTAAGTTCGCCAATAAAACTACACATTTTTAACATTATTAACACTCGCGTAAAATTTGCATCTCAGTACTCAGGTTGAGATATCCAATTATATAACAGCTAATTATATATATTAATACTGCATTCGAGTACTCACTCATAGGTTGCCATATATAATTATTTATGTTCGTTTTTAGTCGCATTTCGCAAATCCAGCACGCTGATTACTAGGGGAGAAACACTTAATGTGGATAAATAACGGCAAATTCCTTCAGGATTTATGTTAGGATTGATCGAATTTTCAACTAAACAGGCAGAAGTAACATATTAAACAAGCACCGGTGGCTATGCAAAAAATGTTTAAACGTGAAAAAGCACCTAATTTATATAAAATTTCTCTTTGACTTTTCAATTGAGGCTCGAGCTATATATAGCTACATTGTGGTCATGCAAAATCTCGATCTTTGTTTATTATTTGTTTTAAAATAATTTTGCTTTTTTCCAAATGAATGTTCACGGTCATCAGTAGGATTTGTGTCCCGCTCCTCTACGTTCGGATTCGATTTGTGAAGACTGATGAAGAACAAACTCAGAATCTTATTGTGTTTGCATGGTGACAGTCGATAAGTAATTTAGCTTGTAGGTACACCACGTAAGTATTTAATAATGCAAAGCTATCGCGCCATTAACCCAGGTCTTCATCAGTGCAATAACCTGGTTACACATTTACACTGTTTATACACGTCACTTAATATCACGTTAGTCGTGATTTGTTAGCTCGCGCCATTCACTTACCAAAATTAATAATTATGAAAAACAAATAGTTCCAATACATAGTTCTAATAAATAGTTTTAGTATTTTCTTCCTCAATAGTACGTGGCGTGCTCTTTTCAATGTCTGCTAGCTAAATACTAACTAAATTACTGTACTTAATGAGAATCGTTGAAGATCTCGACATATGAAGCTAGGGCATCGCGTCGGATTCAATGATAGGGATTTGGAAAAATGTCTGGCGCCTATTCTCCAAAAAGGCAACTGGATGCAGACGATTTCTCACCAACGCACTCCAAAACTTATTCTGCAAGTAGTGGCTCTGCATTCAACGAAGGTGCATTTTAGAGACACGTGCAGACGCGCGTGGTTTCGGTTTATACTTCTAATATCCAATTTCATTTTTTTTTTGCGATCCGAATTCATATTTTAGCGTTTCCTGCAATCTGATTGGCTACGCGAGCGGTCCGTATGAGGGCGTACGGACCGCTCGAGATTCAAAAGCACAGAGCCAACGCTAAAAAATGAATTCGGAGCGCAAGAAAAAAATAAATATATTATTTACCAGTTTAGTATATATAGGGAAATATTTCTTTCGGTCTCAAAACGCTGTTTTTGAGACCTCGGGAAATATATTTCCCTATACAGACCTCCAATCTGGTAAATAACATATATATAACAGCTCCATAGATACTCCATAGATATTCGAATGTACTCACCCTCAGGGTGCGCCATATATATTTGTGTGCGTTATTTAGAGGCATTTCGCAAATCCTGCACGCTAAATTGAGGATCACGGGAAGGGGGATGAACTGCTAAACCTGGTGGTGAGCAATATGAATTTTTGTTACTTTAAGTTTAAACAGCATTTAAACGAAAGAGAGAAAAATACATGCAAAAGTTCTGAATGAAGATATAGTTTTAAAGCTAGACTATGATGTTCCAGTACAATTATGTTGCATTTAATAACTCGCCATATCGGGTGTGTGTTAATTTGTCATATTACAACTACAGATGGCTGATATGCCTGCCTCTTTTATAAAACCCAAAAGTCATTACTTTACCCATGACTCTGAATATATAATAGAGCGACACAAAGGATTAGCCCATTCATTGTACATACATGGCAGGGGGAACTGACACAATTTTATGTGGCAATACCTATATTGAGACTGTAAATAGCATTTACAAATGAAAGAGAGGGACATTAGGAATCACAGCTGCTAACTTGAGTGCTGTCGGTTGAGCATTGAGACATAAATAGTGTCAGTAGAGCTAAGAGGGTATAATCATACATTTTTCTATGCATCCACCAGTATTTTATCAATAATATCTTTCCTCAATATTTGTATATGATAAAATCATGTGCAATTTATATAATGCAACTGCATGGGTACTGCAATTAATGTTGGGGGTGAGAAAGTTTTATTTATGATATATCAAGCTCTTGGTACTTAATAAAGGTGGCATACTTTTGTTATCTTGAAAAGCATCAAAGGACATGAAAGTGATGGAACAAAAATAAAATTAAAGTAAACTACAGAAATTAATTCCAAAATGAATCAAAGTGTTTAGTAAAAGCAGATTCTATGCCCAAATATCAATTTCGTTATATATATATATATATATATATATATATATATATATATATATATATATATATATATATATATATATATATATATTGTCACTGCATTGATCATTACTCGTGCTCTAGGAGGGCACGAGTCTAGGTTTCGTCGTGTGTCGGTCGCGTTTTGGACCTCGATGACCCAGAATGCATTGCGCACTTCACCCAGTAATGTATGACGAAATGCAATTATTCGACAATACAAGCCACTTTTACAAACAATACGGCAAAATATATTGCACAGAAGACATTACTACGGTGCGCGATGTATATTACGAGATATAATTATCCGACAATACAAACCACATTTTACAAACAATACGAAGGATGCAAAATATATATGCACAGAAGACATTACTACGGTGCAACATTTAATGCATATTCCTTGGTGCGATGTATATTTTTAAATTCCTATATGAAAGCAAGATATATGATCGATGTTTTCGCAGTTTTAGACCTACAAATGCTTATAAATCACACTTATTAATACCTAAATGTTTGAACCGTCGACTGACATTACGCACAATACGAATCAATACTATTACAACTAGATTTTTGAAAGCTTTCGTCGGAACTAAAACACTGCAGTCTGCAGTCAATATATAATAGAAGCATTGACACAGTAATATGTCACGCCGTGAGGATTGTTTATAGGCTACCTATAATCGGCATTTGTGAATTGTGATAATAATGTAAATGTATTATTTTATACTTGTGTGATACATTTTTGTCGTGTAAGTCCTCCCAGGCCCAGGGTAACCACAAAGCCTTAACTTACGCTATAGGTTCCCACAACACGCCATGATTGTGTCCCTCAAGTAATGCTATTAAATCCCTAGAACACAATCCCTAGAGCACGAGTGTACGCCTAAGCCGGCGTCTTGTTATAAGCTATTCGTACTGGAACAGTACGCGGAGTGTGATTTGCTATTCGTACTGCATTCGAAATGTTTCTTTCAATTGTCGCAATAATAAAGGTTTTTATCGACTGTTGTAATCGTACCTTTATAAAGGGACAGTAAGCGATTGCAACAAACGTTATTTTCGTATCGGAAATCGATGTTTGAATCCTCGGCATACCGTACGGCGTACGGCCGAATTAAATGAGACTTGTAAAATTTTTCATATTTTTGTTTTTATTCGTGTGGGCACACGCGGGCGCGCGAGCGGGTAGTGTTAAGGCCGACACTAACTCGGTTTGTTTCACCAGAAGCTAGTAAAGTTTATCATGTCTTGAAGGTTACTTAACGATAGTATATTTTGAATGCTCTGGCGCCCATACCTTGCAAAATTTGCTTTTAGAATTCATTTTGTCTGCCACTGAAATCTGAAAATTCGCATCCGGTGTGCGTAATTCGGCCTTTATGGTCTCGCGCGCCCGCGTGTGCCCACACGAATAAAAACAAAAATATGAAAAATTTTACAAGTCTCATTTAATTCGGCCGTACGCCGTACGGTATGCCGAGGATTCAAACATCGATTTCCGATACGAAAATAACGTTTGTTGCAATCGCTTACTGTCCCTTTATAAAGGTACGATTACAAGAGTCGATAAAAACCTTTATTATTGCGACAATTGAAAGAAACATTTCGAATGCAGTCAGGGCCGTCCTCAGGATATTTTACAGGGGGGGTGTAAGGTAATCTAAACCGACTGATCCACGGACTTGTACCGATTACACTCTGGATGAAACTTTGTCAAGTTTATATTGGATCGGTCCATAGTGTCAATAGTATGTTTGTCTGCCGACTAAAATAGCAATTTTACCGACTAAACCTAAGAATAAACTTTCTGGGGGGGTGTGACACCCCCCTACACCCCCCCGTAGCTCCGGGCCTGAATGCAGTACGAATAGCAAATCACACTCGGCGTACTGTTCCAGTACGAATAGCCACTTTGATTATTTTAACATGCTGATGTATAAAATCTTAGATCATGTATGGCATATCATATATCTGTATAACTTCTTCGGAATATCTAGCAACATTTTGGTTCGCTATGCCTAAATTAATGTCAAGTAGTGTTTTTTATTTAAAAAAATCGAAAATTTGGGCCTCAAATTGTTATGCGCAGTGCGGACTTCACTTTCACTTAAACTTTGTATATTACATAACACAATATAAATTATATAATTATTTTGCTTGTATACTCTATAGATTTATGGTCTCATATGCATGCTAGCTAGTATATGTAGAAATATATGGTAGATATATGCATGTTTCTAAAGCTACTGACATGGCTATATATTAAGTTAAACAAACTTACCCGTTGAGGAGCTATTAGATTCAAGGCATAGCCTTTGTTGTTCGCTTTCGGTTTGATCTTTGCTTTCCTCCTAGTTCTACCGACTGTCTGATACTTCCTTATATCAGTTCGGGTTTTTTATCCTTAATGCTATTTGCCAACCCGTGAACTTCAACAACGGCCACGTAAAGATGATGTAAAGTCCGTTCTGCGCATTATTCTGCGAATAACAATGTTTGTTTACGTTGGTTATATAATCTTTACACGGCTATCTTTAAAATAGGGAATGTGGGAATGCGGGAAGCGGAATGGGGAAATAAGGGAATAGGGGAATAAGGGAATGGGGGAATAAGGGAATGCAGGAATGAGGGAATAAGGGAATGGGGGAATAAGGGAATACGGGAATGGGGGAACCGGTGAACGGTGAAACCGGTGAACGAGTGAGCGGGGAAACCGGGGAATAGGGGGATGGGGGGAACCAGGGAACAGGGTAAAGGTAGAACTATGGACTCATTGAGCAGCTAAACTAATAGTAACAGTCTTGATCCTGAAAGGAACAACTGTTAGTATATATTAGGCGTGTATATACAGTATTATGGCTCTCTGCATCTAGGATGCTACTAACAAATATATTTATATTGTTATTAATGCCAACCTGGCAAGTGTTAATTGGTATTGTGAAACTCAGGCACTCTTGCATTAGATTTTACTAAAGTGAAAAATCAAAATATACTTGCCTTTCAGTAAAAATTAAAACTATAAATAGGATAATGGTATGGTTGTGTACTGCTAGCTAGTGTGTTCATTTAGTTGGCATGCAAAACTTCAATCATTTCAATAGTGATATATGCAACAGCTAGAACATATGTTATTGATATGGGAAATCCGAATAACATTGCTCTAGAAACTGTTCTGTGTATATAATTTTCTCGCATGTTTGCATTTGCTTTCAACAAAATCTATAAAGAACCCACTGACCCTTAATTAACTAAGGACCGTCATCCTTTATTAGCGGGTTGAGGGCTGAAGAGAAAAGGGTAGGGTAACTGCATGAAAATGAAGTGTTATTAACAATATAAATCCTTTCATCATTAAAATCTGAGACCATATATATAGTCAACCTATTGGCTCTTTCCCAATCAGCATACAAAGCTTAAAATCTTATAAAATCTTTAATGAGTCTCAGTCATTCCTTGGTAGGAAGTCTCAGGCCTATAGCAAGTTATATGAAAACATTATATCAGAAAATATATAATCAAGACAAGTATATAATCAAGTACGGCATTTAGATATTTATTGTAGTACAGGAAGTATTTATGTACTCCAATAAATGTCGTAAAAGGGTAATATACATACATAGTATTCAGTGTTGCAATGTTTGCATGCCAATTTGAGGTTCATACAGCAGATATCTAGTTTTCTTATCAAGTATTTAATTACAATTACATTGCTTATTACATAATTACCAAGTTACTCACAAAGTGCACATTGTTGTTTCACTGTAACCAAAAATGTTTCTTTCAACAAAACATATTCATCATAATTATATGTTTCCCAAAAAGTTTGTTTTCTAAAATCAGTGGAGTAAAACACTCTAAATATACTACCAACTTTGAAAAGCTATAGAGTTAAATAGTATATAGGGAAAATACTTTCTGATATGAACACACTAGCATACAACAATACCATTATCTTATTTATAGTTTTAATTTTTACTGAAAGGCAAGTATATTTTGATTTTTCACTTTAGTAAAATCTAATACAAGAGTGCTTGAGTTTCACAATAACAATTCACATTTGCCAGCTAGGTTGGCATTAATAACAATAAATATATTTGAGAGAATACAGAGAGCCATAATACTGCATGTATACACGCCTAATATATACTAACAGTTGTTCCTTTCAGGCTCAAGACTGTTACTATTAGTTTAGCTGCTCAATGAGTCCATAGTTCTACCTTTACCCTGTTCCCTGTGGTAAAGACACATGCCAGGAAGACTAACTGCGACACGCAAGAAGATTTTCTTTTAATTTTAAGTATTTAAAGATTACATGTGGCACATTCCAATCATACAAGTACAATGGTTATACGCGATATTATAATATAAGTATGATATAACGAGCAATTTGATTGGCTACCGCGCGTGCATTGTGAGGCCATATTGCACGCTTCTGGCTTTTGAAGTTTTTGTTGCTAAGCAACATCTTAAATAACATGTAAAGAGAATTTCATTATTGATGAAATGAATAAATTTTGTTTTTGCCCTATAATTTCTTCTTATATTATAAAAGAATTAAAAAAGCTCGTCGCGTGCCTTTATGGTGTAATAATGCACTCGGGGAAATGTTGGAAGAATACTCGAGAAGCTTGTAAAACACTCGGCTACGCCTCGTGTACTCGGCACGCGACTCGTTTTTTAATTCTTAAATAAAGTTCACTTAAATCAACTATAAATCAACTAATAAAACAAATAGTATACGAGAAGTTCACGAACTTATAAACTATAGCGTTGGTATACCTGATGGGTGAATCACCTCACGCTCGAACCAATTTCCTTCAAATATTCAATCTCTCTAGAGGTGCGTCTACCTCAGCCTAACTTTCTCCTTTCTTCTCTCAAGTTACAAATGACGCGCGGTTACTATAGGCAACTCTTAGTTAATTTTTACTAACACAACAATGATAATTATTTAAATGTTCATATTAATTAATCGATATAGTGATAAACGTCAAATGTTCAAAACACCCTGGTTCCCCCCATCCCCCTGTTACCCTATTCCCCGGTTCCCCCGATCACTCGTTCACCGGTTCCCCCATTCCCTTATTGCCCCATTCCTGCGTTCCCTTATCCCCCATTCCTTTATTCCCTTATTCCCTTATTCCCCCATTCCCTTATTCCCCCACTCCATTATTCCCCCATTACCTTATTCCCCCATTCCCTTATTCCTCCATTTCCGCATTCCCCCATTCCCGCATTCCCCTATTCCCGCGTTTCCTTATTCCCGCATTCCCCCATTCCTGCATTCCCCCATTCCCCATTCCCTATTATTAAGATAGCCATCTTTACATGACGTATGGGTCGTTATAATTTTCTTATTTTCTTCTGGCTCGACCGGCTGTGATCTGTGATTAATATGCTTATTTTATATTATATTTTGAAGAAAATATCATTATATTTTGAAGAAAATATTATTATATTTTGAAGAAAATATAAAGCGAAGCTTGTAAATAAACCGGCCGTTATTTAAAACTTTATATATTTGTAATTGTAGGACAAGCGAGAAGGTAGGGGTTGTAGCGACGAAAAATAGCCTCGCCATCTGATCTCGTGTCCTCATTCAACAAATAAATTCTTGGAGCATTCCTTTCAGCATAATATTGCCTTTTTCTAGCAGCCTTATGATAAGATAAGTTATCTTCGTCACTCGCAATTCGAGCCTCTTCGCCTTGCGACATAAAATAAAATAATTGTGCTCCCGAACTGCCGTTTGTAAATTGTATTAGAAGAAGGCTCTATTTAGATCATTTGAAACCTCCAGTAAGTAGTCTTTGAACTGTGTTGCGAAACACATGAAACTGACCACGTTAGCATTGCTGCACGTCCGCATCGAGGTCAAATTGGTGCATATCATACTTACCAAGCTAAGACATGAAAATGACTAGAATAACAAATCGACGTGTTGGTATGAATGTGAGTGATTTTATTAGTTCGTTCAGAGAACACGGCAAAAATTTTGAGCAATATATTTTTAAATTTGGCGGACTGCAGAAATTTCCAAGGTAAAAGATTCGGTTACGAAAACGTTTCTAAACAGCTGTTCTATCCATCTAGAGGTCGGCAAACAGTGCTCCAAGTCTGTGGCTCTCACATTACGCAGTGATATATTTTCACTAACTTTTTATTTTAAAGGAAAACCAGTCGAAATTCGAAGGCCATTATGTATGGAATAAAAATTAATGCAAATTAGCGTACAAGCGACTTGCCTTTAACAATGTAATGTATTCCAATTTGTTTTGATTTTTTATTGGCCTATTTTTATCCCCATTTTGCCACCATACAAAGCATGTATTCTCCGGTATTTATTTTCATACTAACTCTTCTGACGAAGGCCTTGAGGTGGAAACGTCGAGAAATGTTTTGTCTATTTTAGGCAGTTGTTATACCACATTTGATGCTAATTTGTTTGAAGACGCTGCCACGCTGCTCCCTGGTTATATTGGAACGTAACGACATCAAAAGGTTGTATAAAAAGATTCTTATATTTCAATAGCTCGGACACATTACGGAACAAATCTTAGAGACTTTAAAAATTTCAATTGAAACCGCCAGTGTTAATATGTTAATTATCAAATATGTTATCAAATATGTTATCATGGAGAAAGGCGAATTGACAAGGAATCGTCGCGAGACTGACGAGGCTACGGAAACGAAAGTGATGTTTGCAAGAGGCGGACCCCTTTGTCCTGTTTCATCGTTTGAGAAATATGTATGTCATTTGGATCCAAATGACGAGTTATTCTTTCAACAACCAAACAGAATAATTATAGTCACAGATCAAGCGACGGTGTTTGGTATGACAGTATGATTATTGGTCAATGTACACTAGCCATTACGGTTCCTGTCTAGCTTCCTGCCAGACTAATAAAATCCTCTCTCCTCCGCAGAGGCTTCGAATACAAATGCGCTAGTCAGATTTTTAAAGATGACCTCTGCTGCTGAAATTAGAAACGCGGGCGAGGGTTAGGGAGAGAGAAAATTGAGGAAGCCTCTGCCAGATTTGCTTTCCAGCATGGCGTCAAACCGGGGGATTGTATCTTGCAAATGTGGAAATAACTCTGCTACTTTCTATGCAATAGATTTTTCTCTGCGAGTCATACTTGATCAATGCATTAGGCATTATTTGAGGATATTTTGAGTTTATTTGACCCAAGCACGAAGTCCAGAAAATTCGCAGAAGCTGCATGGCTAAAATATAATATATATGCAGCGTCGTATTGCGGTTTGTGATCAGTGAAATACTTTTCGTAATTTCTCTTAAAATACGAATTATATATCTTCTCTTGTGAATGTCATTCTTTATATGGATATATTTGATTGTATTATTGAACTTTTGATTGGAAAGCGCTCGCTATTTACTCAAGAAAATTTACTCAAGAAATTTATAACCCATATGTAAGTCCTGTCATGAGCAACAACAGACCTATATGTAATAATTATT